CGTGAGAGAAAACGAGAAGGGAAAATGGAAAAAGGAGAGCGGAGGGAGGCGAATGCACGAGAAAGGGAACCTAGGGATCACGAAAAGGGGAAAACAATAAAAGGTCGGGAGAAAAGCCCACCTTCATACTCTCTAGCACCGCAGAAGGTTCGTTCATCTTCGCTTCTAGCTGCCGGACCACCTCGAGGACTGGCGGAGACTGCTGCTGCTGAAGCAACCCCGACACGGCGCCAACACTCGCCGTATCTTCCACTTCTGACGCTCGCCGTGCCACGGAATCGCTCCCAGTATTCACCCTATTGAGTTGCGCAAGTTTAGCGTCCCGATCTGACTCCCCACCCATGGAACCGAAGGGTGGAGCTGCGGGGATTACTAAGCTGCCTATCCTGCCGTTGTTGCTACTGCTGCCGTTTAAGCTCTCAGCGCGACAAACCATTTTCCGTCGCTGTTTGAGCTTCTCTCCGAAGCGTCGCGACCGTCCCGTTCTGTGGACGACGCCGCTGTGAACCGGCAAGCCGGTAAAAGTGTCATGGCCGTCATCGGCGCGCAATGGCGATCGAGACGCGCCTCCAAATGATGCTGAAACCGCGAGGCTCGATCTTTCATTTGAGCCAAGACTAACCGCGGATAACCGCGAAGCCCCGGAACACTCGGAACCAGGCCGTGAGCCAAGTATGCCAGCGGAGGCCAACTGAGCCTCTGAATTAGGCCTAACTCTACTAATCTGAGAGGTAAACGACGAGAAGCTTACCGCCATTATTGCTAAGACTAAGGAACGACCGAGTTAGTAACGTAATTGGCTGATCATGACTTACTACATGCTACATGCAATTAGCTGCCTTACAAAGAAATGATCACACAGAATGTTCCCATGCCGAAAGCGGGAAAGGCGGGAAAAGAGACAGATCCAAAGCCCTGGAAGAAAACTAGGAAGGGGAGAGGTTAGGAAAGAGAGGGAGTGAGGTGAGGAACGGACGCCCAATGAACGACAAACACCAAGTGAGATGGACTGCTGGTGGAATAAACATGGTTGCCTTGTTTGGTCGTTTGGTTGTCCTGCCAGACCAAACCAAAACCAAACCCTCGTAATTGTCAGGCAGTAGAAAATGTTTCCCCGCTTGTTAGCTCGCTGACAGTTGCGCTTGAACCATCATCACGCACGCACCACGCCAGGACAGCGCACGAGAGGAGGATTCTTCCGCCTTCCGCCAGGCTATGATGCGCGCGGAACAATCGAGGTAGATCCGTGCCGCACGAGTGAAGGACGTCAGCTGACGAGTACAGTTCGTTGGATCAAAGCATGGCATGGTGTATGTCATAGAGATCGACGGTGCGCAGCTTCTGTCATTGGATTTATTCGTACTTTTCGCGCCAAGCATATTTTCAAAGGTTATCGACGTGGCGGCAAGGGTCAGGAGGTCAGTTTGGTGGTGTGGTGGGCATAATCCAGGGCGCGGGAAAAGATACGCAAATCGATACAGCTGTAAACATATTTAACATTCGGACTGATACACTACACTCATTTATTCTATTTACGCCCATCACAATGGCATACTGTTTTACCCAATGATAATGCATAACTGATATATGTGTGTTCACCTATCAATCATAATCTTCTACCTGTTCATGAATACAATGTAGCCTAACTGCTTTCAGTACTTGAGTCAGCTTCCTCTTTTCCCATATAACAACTAAGCCAGAAGCGAGTTTCACAGCAAAAAGGCATTCGGAAGCATGATCGAGACCACCTTTCAAATGCTGATTCGACCACTTTACATCGTAGAGAGCCTCATGGAGCCGCATTCGAACAAAGGGAAACGTATCCTTCGCCAATTGATCAAAAAGGGACACAGGAGGGCACGAAGTCCATGCTTCTGACATTTCTGCTTCACGTTGTCTCGTAGCAGATTTGCCGTATGTGCATCATAGGCTAGAGAAAATGCAGGCTGCAGTGCGCACCGCGGTTTGCAATTACAAGAACCAGTATTAGCCACGTCGAATTCTCCTGCTAACGCCTGCTGCCATGCCTGCCAGCTTCACTGTCGTTCAGGAGAAGTCGCTTGCCTCGCAGGTCAGTCGCTTGCCTCGCAGGTCAGTCGCTTGCCTCGCAGGTCAGTCGCTTGCCTCGCAGGTCAGTCAATTGCCTCGCAGGTCAGTCGCTTGCCTCGCAGGTCAGCCGATTGCCTCGCAGGTCAGTCGCTTGCCTCGCAGGTCAGTCGCTTGCCACACAGGACAGTCGCTTGCTTCGCAGGTCCTTGGTTCTTTGTTCATCCTTCACAATCAGATATTTCCTTACCTTCCATCTCAGGCATGTCTAGCGGATTGGAGTGGCGACAAGCACCTGCTGGCCATTGTGTGCGTCACCGTCTGAAAATGGAACGCCTCGTCTGGCCATCACAATCAGTTTTGTTTTGTTCTTCCCGTCCGTCGCAGGCATGTCTGGCGGAGTGGAGTGGCGACAAGGACCTGCTGGCCCTCGTGTGCCTGCAGCGTTACCTCGGCGGCTGATAAGGCACATCTTGTGACCTTGGCGTTTTGTCTTCCCCTCAATGTCAGGCATGTCTGGCGGAGTGGAGTGGCGACAAGGACTTGCTAGCCCTCGTGTGTCGCGACCAGCATCTCCTCGTTTTTCGCCTCAACTGGCAGCGCCTCTGGGCAGCCATTTCTGGTAAATCAACCATTTTTAGCTTTGGGGTGAAAGTTTGGTAACTTGGAAATGTAGTTGATCAATCTGTTAAAACTTATGAAATCGGTGGGTGAATCTGTTAGACCCAGATGTGAACAATCATTCCGATGCTTCTTCCAGTTTTGTTGCGTTGCCCTTTTTGTCTGCCCAATTAAGTAGTCTTGTGTAACCCTCCCTTGCTGCTCTCTTCCCCTCCTCCTTCCCGCCAGAGGTGCCTGTGACCGCGCTGACGTGGCGGCCAGATGGGCGGGCCATTCTGACAGGGCATACAGATGGCAGCATCGTGTACCGCCACGTAGAGGTCAGCCCTCGTGTGTGTGTGTCTGCGTGTTGTCTCTTCAAATGCAACAAACAAGCAGAGTGAAATTAGAGCAATTAGTGTGGCAGCGAGAGTTTAGAGTGCAGGGAGGGAGCGAGTCAGGCTAGAAGTGGTCGGGCTCTGAACACTCATGTGGTGTGTTCCTCCTAGCTAATTCATGCTGTTTTTGAGGCGCCTCAAAAGTGGTCGGGCTCTGAACACTCATGTGGTGTGTTCCTCCTAGCTAATTCATGCTGTTTTTGAGGCGCCTCAAAAGTGGTCGGGCTCTGAACACTCATGTGGTGTGTTCCTCCTAGCTAATTCATGCTGTTTTTGAGGCGCCTCAAAAGTGGTCGGGCTCTGAACACTCATGTGGTGTGTTCCTCCTAGCTAATTCATGCTGTTTTTGAGGCGCCTCAAAAGTGGTCGGGCTCTGAACACTCATGTGGTGTGTTCCTCCTAGCTAATTCATGCTGTTTTTGAGGCGCCTCAAAAGTGGTCGGGCTCTGAACACTCATGTGGTGTGTTCCTCCTAGCTAATTCATGCTGTTTTTGAGGCGCCTCAAAAGTGTTCGGGCTCTGAACACTCATGTGGTGTGTTCCTCCTAGCTAATTCATGCTGTTTTTGAGGCGCCTCAAAAGTGGTCGGGCTCTGAACACTCATGTGGTGTGTTCCTCCTACCTAATTCATGCTGTTTTTGAGGCGCCTCAAAAGTGGTCGGGCTCTGAACACTCATGTGGTGTGTTCCTCCTAGCTAATTCATGCTGTTTTTGAGGCGTCTCAAAAGTGGTCGGGCTCTGAACACTCATGTGGTGTGTTCCTCCTACCTAATTCATGCTGTTTTTGAGGCGCCTCAAAAGTGGTCGGGCTCTGAACACTCATGTGGTGTGTTCCTCCTACCTAATTCATGCTGTTCAGCTCGCTCACGCCTTTGGACACCACATGAGTGCTCTTCCTCCTATCCTAGCTCATGCTGTTCTGACACCACCGAGCTGAGCTGAACATGCGGTTTCACGCTCCCCCACCTAGCATCCCTGCACCTGTCCTCTCTGCCTAGTCTACCCCCCTCTGCCTCCCTCCCTACACTACCCCCTTCCCTGCACCAACCCCCATCCCTGCATCCAATCGTCCCCCCTCCTTACCATTTCCCCTGCAGGGCGGAGACATCATCCACCAGGTTTCCTCCTTCCGCTCCTCCCCTCCCTGTGCCGTCTCTCCTTCTACCCAATTCCCCCCACCTCCCCTGGTTCCGCTCTTCCCCCTTCCCTCTTCCCCTCTTCCCCTCTTCCCTCTTCCCCCTTCCCCCTTCCCCCTTCCCCCTTCCCCCTTCCCCCTTCCCCCTGCAGGGCGGAGACATCATTCACCAGGTCTCCTCCTTCCACTCCGCCCCTCTCTCCGCCCTCTCTTGGTCCTCCCTGCACCTCTCTCCCTCCTCCGCCACTGCTCCACCCAATGCCAATCCTGCTCCCACCACCACTGCCACCAGCACCTCCCCTCCTCTCTCCCCGTCCTCCCTCCTCGCCAACCTCCCCTCCCTCTCCCACTCCACCTCCTCCTCTCCCGCCCCACTCCCTCCCTCCGCCCCCTCCCTGCCTTTCCCCCACGGCCCCTATCACGACCTCACTCATACCTATCTTCCCCGGACTCCACCCGCCTCTTCCCTTCCCTCGCCCTCCTCTCTCACCACGGCTGCTGACTCAGCTGCTGACGTGGATGGGGCCCGCCCGCTTGAGGATGAGCGGTGGTGGCTGCACATGCCAGCTGGCAAGGGGAAAGGGGGAGGGGGAGGGGGAGAGGAAGGGGGTGGCGAGGGACGGGGAGAGGGAGAGGGAGGGGAGGAGGGGAGGAGTGTGCTATGCGTGTTAGTGAGTGTGGATGTGGTGGGGTGTGTGGTGGTGAGCGCGTTTGGCATCTTTCCACTTATCAAGCTGGTAGGCCCATACTGACCCTCACTTGCCCTCACTTGCCCTCACTTGCCCTCTGCTGCGTGTTAGAGGTCGATCACATCACATCACATGTGTCGTTTATGTATGGATATGGAAGCGAGGGGGACACTGCACTGGTCACACGTCACACCACACCACGCCACACCACACTGCACCGCACCATACCACATTATGAGCACACCAAAAGCAGAGCACTACAGCACCAAAGCGGCTTGCATGCATGTCTCCTTTCCTCCGTGTTTGCCTATCCTATCCTCCCTCCCTCCTCTCTCCTCTCCCCTCTCTCCTCTCTCGTCTCTCTTCTCTCTTCCCTCGCCTTTCTGCCTGCCTCCTCTCTTGCCCGCCTGTTAGGACATCGCAAGCCGGGTGCCAACTGCTGGCCCCACGAACAACGGGCTGAATGCGCATGCAAGTGGGACTCCTGTAAAGGTGAGAGACAGTTGTAGAGAGGAGGGGCGGGTGTGGATTGGAGGGGGGAAGGGGGGGAGAACGAACTTAGAAGCAAGCCATACGAGTGATGGGTCGAGTGGGTGTGCAAGAAGAACAACTGTGAAGGTATTCGCGGCTGAAGGGAGGGAGAAAGTGCCGTTTTCTTTCTCGCCCTCTGCTTGCCAAGCTTCTCAGGTGGGTGTGATGAGACGATTTTTTTATCCGACTCTAAAAATCTTTCTCGCCCTCTGCTCTGCTTGCCAAGCTTCGCAGGCACCTTATTAGCCGCCTTTCCCGTCCCTCTTCTCTTCCTGCTTCTTTCAGGCGCCTCAAATAGTACCCGCGTGCACCCAGTTTGCGGTGCTGACACTTGATGTCGCCCACCTCATTGTCGTCTCTGCCGGCAGCAACAGCGGCAGCAGCAGCATCTTGTTTCCTTCCTCAGAGCACTGTTTCCTTCCTCACAGCACTGTTTCCTTCCTCCATCCCTGTGCCCCTGACAGGCGTTGCTGACACCTGATCTGACCCACCTCATTGTCTCACTGCCAGCAGCAGCAGCCGCATCAGCAGCACCACCACCACCACCACTACCACCTTTTGAGTCCCCTCAAAGCCTTGTTCTCCTTTCCCTCGCAACGTGCCCCCGACAGGCGTTGCTGACACCTGATCTGGCCCACCTCATTGTCGTCACTGCCAGCAGCAGCAAACGGGATGAGAAGCAAGGCCGGAAGCAGGGAAGTCAGGAGCAGGGCGAAGCTGGCTGTGAGCTGGGGCTGTTTGACATGGCCATGATGAGAGACAGGTGTGGGGGGGGGGGGGGACAATGCAATTACTTGTGATTTGACAGATCCCATTAGTGGCTCTAGCATAAAAGGCTACAGGTGGGGCAGGTGGGAGGGCGGCAGGTGAGATGGCAGCAGGTGGGAGTTCGTGCCAGCCTCATGCGTTGACAGCTGAAAGCCCACCTTTTCCTCTCCCTGTACCCCAACCCCTTTTCATATCCGCCCGCTCTCCGCCTACCAGCCCCTGGGAGGTGCTGGCCCGGCAGCGGCAACAACGCACGGGGCAGCGCTGACAGGGCCCACTTCCCTCCTATCCCCCTTTCCTTTCCCCCTTATCCGCCCTCTCTCCTCTTTGCAGCCCCTGGGAGGTGCTGGCTGTGGCAACACACGGGGCGGCGATAACAGGGCTCATGGAGTCCGTGTCAGCAACTGCTGCTGCCATGCACTGCCAATGGGAGGCCGCCAGCTGTCAGTGGCGGGAGAAGGTGCAGGGGCTGCAGCGACTGTTGGAGGAGAATGGTGAGCTAGCAGCCGGTGATTGGTGAGCCGGCGGCAGGTGACAGCCCTATCCTCATGCCGTTTTGTTACCTGCAAGTTTATGAGTTGTCCCACTACTTAAAACCATGCCCTTGCAATCCCCCTGCCTGCTCCGTGCTCTGATCATGTCTCCGATTGCCCCTCAGACCCTCGCTCAGAGCTCCTGTACATGCTGGCAACAGGGGCTGCTGGGTCGAGTTGTGCCACCACTCAAAACTGTGCCCTTGCAAATCTGCAATACCCTTGCCCGCCCCTTGTTCCCGTGTCTCAGATTGCCCCTCGGACCCTCGCTCAGAGCTGCTGTACATGCTCGCTACAGGAGCTGCCAGCACGGATCTGAACAGCTTTTTCTCAGATACTCTTGCAGGCGAAGCGGTGAGGCCGGCCTGACCATGAGACGCTGCTGAATTTGATGCACAAGTTACTGATGCCTGCCTGCAATTTGCGCAATCTTCATTCGTCCTGCAATGCACTAGTGGCACTGCTCCACGTGTAGCGAGGGTGGTTTTGAGACGTCTCAAAAAGAGTGCAATGCACTCTCTACACGTTGCAATGCACCAGTAGCACTTCTCCACCAGTAGCACTGCTCCACTAGTAGCACTGCTCCACTAGTAGCACTGCTCCACTAGTAGCACTGCTCCACTAGTAGCACTGCTCCACTAGTAGCACTGCTCCACTAGTAGCACTGCTCCACTAGTAGCACTGCTCCACTAGTAGCACTGCTCCACTAGTAGCACTGCTCCACTAGTAGCACTGCTCCACTAGTAGCACTGCTCCACTAGTAGCACTGCTCCACTAGTAGCACTGCTCCACTAGTAGCACTGCTCCACTAGTAGCACTGCTCCACTAGTAGCACTGCTCCACTAGTAGCACTGCTCCACTAGTAGCACTGCTCCACTAGTAGCACTGCTCCACTAGTAGCACTGCTCCACTAGTAGCACTGCTCCACTAGTGCAATGTCTTTTGAGACGTCTCAACAGAGTCGCCTGCAACGTGCACAGTGCTCTTTCATCTTGCAATGCACCAGTGGCACTGCCCCGCCCCACTAGTGCATTGCTTTCGCCAACCTTCAGCCAGCCTCCCTTTCCCTCTTTCTCCCTGCCTGGCATGGACGATAGGGACAGCAGGGAACGCACTGCATGGCTTGCTCAAGCTGACCACCAGTGACAATTTCGCCTCCTTTTCCGAACCTGCTTCTTCAACCCCACACACGTTTTCCCCATCCCCAGGGAGTGAAGCGGCTTGCACGGACGATAGAGACGGCAGGGAACGCGCTGCATGGTCTGCTCACGCTGCACCTCATGCCTGCTCTGGAAGAGACCATCTTCCGCCTCTCTTCACTGCACTCCCTCGCCACTACAGCTACTGCTGCCACCGCTGGTGCTACAGCTTTAGCTACTGCTAGAGGTGCCACTGCTGGTTGTCCAGGGACAATCAGCCCGTTTGAGGCCCTGGGACTTACACACTGCATGGGCGATGCTGGCAGTAGTGCCAGTGGTGGCAGTGGAGCAAGTGGTGGTGCTGAAGGTGCTGCTACTGGTGGTGGTGGAGCTGGTAGGGGTGTTGATAGTGGTGCTAGTGGCAGTGCAGGTGGGTTACTACAGAGGGCGATAGAGGAGGTGAAGGTGGCGATGGTATGGAGCGAGCGCGTGGTGCGGCTGCTGGCGGTGGTGCTGCCGCAGTTTGCCGCCTTCTTTGTGTGGCTGCTGCGCTGCATCCGGGCGGCGAACGAGGATGAGGACGAGGATGTCAGGCCGGGCGGCAATGCTGCGAGCAGCCAGGCACTGCTGGTCAACACGTGAGTGCTACAGCGGACAGTTGGTTTTTTTTTTGAGTCGACTCAAAAACAGGATGTCAGGCCGGGCGGCAATGCTGCGAGCAGCCAGGCACTGCTGGTCAACACGTGAGTCCTACAGCGGACAGTTGGTTCGCAAAGAAATAAATTAGCGGAATGTTCTCTAGAATACTCGAACAACATGAGGCGGAGGGGCAGCAGTGCTACCAGAAGCCAGGTGCTGCTGATCAACACGTGAGTGCTGCATGTAGAGTGGCACATAACGGGTGCTTAGTGGCGCTTGTTGACACTTAGGGCGTTCAGGCCTCATGCCTTAGGGCGTTCAGCATTGGTGCTTGGCTCACTTGGGGCGAATGCTGCCAGTGGCAGCAGCAGCAGCAGCCAGCCAGGCTCCTGCAGCAGAGAGTACTAGTGGCAGAAATTTCACAACTTCCAAGTGACCAAAAGTGCTCTACCCTCCTCGTCTCACCATCTGCCCCTTCACTCCCACAGAGCAGGGCAGTGGTGGCGGATTTTCTCCACCAGCGCTTTTACTGTGATATCATCAAAGCGCACCTCGGGCCTGTAGGGGGCGCACCTCGGGCCTGTAGGGGGCGCACCTCGGGCCTGTAGGGGACGCACCTCGGGCCTGTAGGGGGCGCACCTCGGGCCTGTAGGGGGTGCACCTCGGGCCTGTAGGGGCGCACCTCGGGCCTGTAGGGGGCGCACCTCGGGCCTGTAGGGGGCGCACCTCTGGCCTGTAGGGGGCGCACCTCGGGCCTGTAGGGGGCGCACCTCGGGCCTGTAGGGGGCGCACCTCGGGCCTGTAGGGGCGCACCTCGGGCCTGTAGGGGGCGCACCTCGGGCCTGTAGGGGGCGCACCTCGGGCCTGTAGGGGGCGCTCCTCGGGCCTGTAGGGGGCGCACCTCGGGCCTGTAGGGGGCGCACCTCGGGCCTGTAGGGGGCGCACCTCGGGCCTGTAGGGGGCGCACCTCGGGCCTGTAGGGGGCGCACCTCGGGCCTGTAGGGGGCGCACCTCGGGCCTGTAGGGGGCGCACCTCGGGCCTGTAGGGGGTGCACCTCGGGCCTGTAGGGGCGCACCTCGGGCCTGTAGGGGGCGCACCTCGGGCCTGTAGGGGGCGCACCTCTGGCCTGTAGGGGGCGCACCTCGGGCCTGTAGGGGGCGCACCTCGGGCCTGTAGGGGGCGCACCTCGGGCCTGTAGGGGCGCACCTCGGGCCTGTAGGGGGCGCACCTCGGGCCTGTAGGGGGCGCACCTCGGGCCTGTAGGGGGCGCTCCTCGGGCCTGTAGGGGGCGCACCTCGGGCCTGTAGGGGGCGCACCTCGGGCCTGTAGGGGGCGCACCTCGGGCCTGTAGGGGGCGCACCTCGGGCCTGTAGGGGGCGCACCTCGGGCCTGTAGGGGGCGCACCTCGGGCCTGTAGGGGGCGCACCTGGATCCACCGCGAAACTCGCGAGTCCTTTTCCCATCCTCCTTCTCTCTCCCCCGCCCACACCTCTCCCGCAGAGCAGGGCAGTTGTGGCGGACTTTCTGCACCACCAAGGCGCACCTGCACTGCACCCCATCTGCCCCAGATGCCACCTCCCATCCACTTCGACCGCGACCCCATCATGGCCTAGTCAAGGCGCACCTGGATCCGCCTCCCCCAGACGCCACCTGCTCTACCCTCCTCTCTCCTCCTCTTTCCCCACCTTCTTCCGCAGAGCAGCGCAGTGGTGGCGGACTTTCTGCACCACCACTTTGACTGCGACCCCATCAAGGCGCACCTGCACACATCTGCCCCAGATGCCACCTCCCCAGGCGCCAGGGTACCGCCTCCGCCCATGTTCGCTGGCATCACGAGCGGCACGCCCGAGGATGGGGGTATGTGGGGAAGGGGTTATGTGGGGAAGGGGGTATGTGGTGAAGGTGGCAATGGGGGTGTGTATGATGATGATGGTGATGGGATAGGGATAAGTGACGATGGGCATGATGGGGGTGTCTGTGATGGCGATGCTGGTATGGTTTGCGTGCCTCTGCAACCCTTCCTTGCGTCCTCTCCCACCCCTTGTTCCTCACAAGCTTGCTTCCTTGCGCCTCACAATTCATAAATAGACGAATTTCCAGGCGCCTCAAACGTGCAACCCTTCCCCACGTCATCCTCTCCCACAAACCTTTCTACCACCTGTGTTTTGTGTGGTTCCTATACCCAGACGTGCTTCTAAGGGAGGTCGTCTGTGACCTAGCTGGAATCACCAACCCAGCAGCCGTACACCCCCAAAGAGGCAACACTTTCCGGCAGCAGCTGGAGCGAGTGCGAGAGAGGTGAGGTTGCAAGTATTGAGGTGACTCAAACGAGGTGCAACGTGCTGCTAAGGGAGGTCATCTGTGACCTGGCTGGAATCACCAACCCGGCAGCCGTACACCCACAGGGAGGCAACACTTTCCGGCAGCAGCTGGAGCGAGTGCGAGAGAGATGAGGTGAGCCTTCCAATATCATTTGATTTCTACCACCACAAACGTTTCTTTTGGAAGAGAACTAACTCAATAACCTGAGTGTCCACTTTATGAAATCGCACGTATTTTGCTCCCACTCTTGTCTCTTGTCTCTTGTCTCTCGTCTCCACCTTTTCTCTATCCCAGCCAATTCCACACCAGCTGTGAGTTCTTTTCTCTGTCTCGGCTTTTTCATTTGCGGAACTCTTGCTCGTTCTCTTGCCTTTTGAGTCGACTCAAAAGTGAATTCCACACCAGCTGTGAGAACGGCTCTTTCATTTGCAGAACTCTTGCTCGTTCTCCTGCCTTTGCTGCTGCTTCTGCTTCCCTTTCTTCTGCTGCCTCTGCTGCTGCTTCTGCCGCTGCCTTTGCTGCTGCCTCTTCTTTCTCTGCCTTCAACACTTCCTCTTTCGCCCTTCTCTGCCCCCTTTTACAGTTGTGAAGCGGTGCTATCAGCCACAGCAGCCAGCTTCACTGCTCGTGCCGTGCAAGCCCTGCCGCCTCTGCCGCTGCCTGCTGTGCCAGCCGCACCTCTTCTGACTCCGAGCCAACAAATTGCCGCCCAACAGATTGTCGCCCAACAGATTGCCGCCCAGCAGAGAACACCTGCTCAAGAAAAAGCTAAAGATGCAGCAGCAGCAGCAGCACCAGCAGCAACAGCCGCCATGCCTGTTCGGGCGCCAATCAGCATCTGCTGCCCCCAAGTACCCTCAATGACCATCTATAATCTATTTTCTTCACGTACATTACGGAAGAAAGAAAGGAAGGAAGGAAGGAAGGAAGGAAGGAAGGAAGGAAGGAAGAAAGAAAAGGGCATATTGTTTTTCTCGTTGCTCAAATCTGCCTATCATTCTCCACCTCCCAAGTGCTTTCTCCTACAACCAATCCCCTTACTACCGATTTCCCTCCATTCGTTTCCCTCCATTCACCTCTCAATCACCTGTCCAAGTACTGTGTTTTCACTCTCATTGCTCCACTCTTCTCTTGAATCACTCTCGTCTTGACCCACTCTTGCATGCCAGACAACCTGATTGTGGTGGGGAAGGATTTGATGCGTCGTGAATTCCCATCCCTCTTCTCTAGTCTTGAGAGTTCTCAAGTCGGAATCCCCATGGTTCTATTCCGCCCCTTGCTCTTATACGCTTGTCAACATTTGTCTCGACTTTTATATACCCGTTTTTCTACCCAGCCATCTTTCTACTCACCATCTTTCTCTCCACCCTTCTTTTCTTTGCCTTCCCTTGCTCTCCCCACTGCAGCCTTCCTCGCTGCTCACCCTCCCACCACCCGCCGAGTGCGTCGTTGCGCTTCCCCTCCTCCCGTCCTCCACCCCTGGTAGCAGCAGCAGCAGCAGCAGCAGCAGCGTGGTGTTGGTGCTGCGAATGCCCCTGTCCTTGGCAAATCACCCTGCAGCGTCCCGTGCATCAGCAGCAGCAGCAGTCAAACCAGGCGCGGAAGTGACAGCAGTGGCAGGAGCAGCAGGGAGGGTGGAGGCGGCAGTGGTGGATGTGGGGCATGGGATGGCGGTCACAGACATTGCAATGTATAAGGTACTGGGTTACCCATGCATGCATGCATGTGTGCATGCACGCCTGTCTGCCTGAAGTGATTTTGGAGTCAACTCGACAATCACCTCAGGGGGGATTGGAGGCGGCAGTGGTGGATGTGGAGCATGGCATGGGATGGCAGTCACAGACATTGCAATGTATAAGGTAGGTACCATCTACTCTTGGAGCGGTTACTCCTCCCCCACCTTCCGTCGTTTACTTCTTCCTTACATCTGTCTCCTGTGTGTATGCCGTGTCTCTCACTTTTTTTTAGAATTCTCAAAAAACAGATCCTGTGTGTATGCCATGTTTCTCTGCCTCCCTGCCGACCCAGGACCACCACATAGCACTGCTGCTCACTGCTGCTGCTGCCACTAAAGCAGGCAGTGCAGCAGGAGCAGCAGGGGCAGTCCAGCAAGGGGGAGAGCAGCAGCAGCAGCAGCAGCAGCAGCAGCAGCAGGGGAGACTGGTGGTGTGTCCGATGGAGGGACTGGTGTTCACAGGGATCCAGCCGGGGCGAGGAGACACACTTTTGCAGGTACGGCTGTGGGCTTGCTTGCTTGCTTGCTTGCATCGTTTTGCAGGTACGGCTGTGGGCTTGCTTGCTTGCATCGTTTTGCAGGTACGGCTGTGGGCTTGCTTGCTTGCATCGTTTTGCAGGTACGGCTGTGGGCTTGCTTGCTTGCATCGTTTTGCAGGTACGGCTGTGGGCTTGCTTGCTTGCATCGTTTTGCAGGTACGGCTGTGGGCTTGCTTGCTTGCATCGTTTTGCAGGTACGGCTGTGGGCTTGCTTGCTTGCATCGTTTTGCAGGTACGGCTGTGGGCTTGCTTGCTTGCATCGTTTTGCAGGTACGGCTGTGGGCTTGCTTGCTTGCATCGTTTTGCAGGTACGGCTGTGGGCTTGCTTGCTTGCATCGTTTTGCAGGTACGGCTGTGGGCTTGCTTGCTTGCATCGTTTTGCAGGTACGGCTGTGGGCTTGCTTGC